AGTGCTGCACTGAGGATGTTACCAAGCACGGTAACGAAACGTCTGCGGAACAACAAACCAGCTCGGCGAGCCAACCAACCTCAACGGTTTCACAATTGTATAAATTATTAATTATATAATTTTTACAGCATTTATAAATGTGTTTTGTTTATTATTTGTACTCAAATATATTTAATATCTTTCAGGTTCCACAAATATCTTGGCATTTTCTGTGCATGGAATTAAACATCCAGGTACAGCAGCAATGCATATCATTATGGGTATGTATGCTTCAAGCCTTTAAATAATTATTTTAAAATATGTATTTCAAAAACAATTCAAAAGTACTATTCATTAGGTTAATTTTGAGTTCTTCAGCTTATACTTAGCTACAGTTTTGAAAATTACATGTGCCACCAATTTGTGTGATGATTGCTATCTGCTGCAAATGTGGTACTAGCTAAGATTTGTCTGTCAGTCAATTTCTGTCTTGTAATATGTTGACAATAGGATAGGATTAGTCAATAACAGCCCAGATCTTAGGCCTCCAAATAATTAAGACTGAACAAATCCTGAAAGGTGTGTGTCGTGACCTCTCTGAAGTCCCATTGCACTAACCACAACTGAGAAGTTTGGAATTCTGATGTTTTGTTCCATATCCTTGATCCCTTTAGTCTTAAGGAATATATATCTAACTTCTTGAAAACATTAATTGTTTGAACTTCAACTGTTTTCTATAGTAGAGCATTCCACAGGCTCACCGCTGTCTGGGCGAAGAAATTTCTGATTTTAAAAATTCATTTGTGGGATATGGGCATTGCTGGCTGGCCATCATTTATTGCCCATTCCTAGTTGCCCCTGAGAAGGCAGTGGTGAGCTCCCTTCTTGAACTGCTGCTGTGAGTTGACCCACAATGTCACTGGGGAGGGAATTTCAGGATTTTGACCCAGCAACAGTGAAGGAACGGTGATATATTTCCAAATCAGGATGGTGAATGGCTTGGAGGGAAACTTGAAGGTAGTGGTGTCCCCATGTATCTGCTGCCCTTGACCTTCTAGATGGAAGTGTTTGTGGGTTTGGAAGTTGCTGGCTGAGGATCATTGTTGAATTTCTACAGAGCATCTTGTAGATGGTACACACTGTTGCTACTGAGCATCAGCAGTGGAGGGAGTGGATACTTGTGGATGTAGTGCCAATCCAGCGGGCTGCTTTGTCTTGGATGGTGTCAAGTTTCTTGTGTTGTTGGAGCTGCACTCATCCAGGCAATGGGGAATATTTTATCACCTTCCTGACTTGTGCCTTGTAGATGATGGGCAGGCTTTAGGGAGTCTGGAGGTAAGTTACTCACTACAGTATTTCTAGCCTCTGACTTGCACTTGTAGCCACTGTGTTTATATGGCAAGTCCAGTTGAGTTTCTGGTCAATGATAACTCCAGGGTGTTGATAGTGGGGGATTCAGTGATTGTAATACCATTGAATGTCAAGGGGCACTGTTTAAATTGTCTTTTATCGGTGATGGTCATAGCCTGGTATTTGTGTGGCATGAATGTTACTTGCCACTTGTCAGCCCAAGCCTGAATATTGTCCAGATCTTGTTGCATTTAAACATGGACTGCTTCAGTATCTGAGGAGTCACCACTGGTGCTGAACATTGTGCAATTTTCAGCGAGCATTCCCACTTCTGACCTTATGATGGAGGGAAGGTCATTGATAAGACAGCTGAAGATGGTTTGGCCTCGGTCACTACCCTGAGAAAGTCCCGCAGAGATGTCCTGGAGCTGAGATGACTGACCTCCAACATCCACGATCATCTTCCTACGTGCCAGGTTTGACTCCAATCAGTGGAGTGTTTGCTTCCTGATATCCATTGGTTCCAGTTTGGCTTGGGCTCCTTGATGTCTCACTCAGTTGAATGCAGCTTTGATGTCAGGGGCTAACATTCTCACTTTATGTCTGAAATTCATGTCTTTTGTCCATGTTTGAACTAAGGCTGTAATGAGATCGGGAGCCGAGTAGCCCTGGCAGAATGCGAGCTGGGTATCACTGAGCAGATTATTGCTGAGCAGGTGCTGCACAATAGCACTGTTAATGACAGCTTCCTTCACTTTACTGATGATCGAGAGTAGACTGGTGGGGCAGTGATTGGTCCTGCTTTTTATGTATGTAACATACGTGGGAAATTTTGCACATTGTTGCATAGATGCCAGTGCTATAAATGTACTGGATGAGCTTGGCTAGAAGAGTGGCAAGTTCTGGAGCACAAGTCTTCAGTACTCTTGCTGGAATGTTGTCAGGGTCCGTAGCCTTTGCAGAATCCAGTGTCTCCAACAGTTTCTTGATATCACGTGGAGTGAATCGAATTGGCTGGGGACTACTGGAGGAGGCCAAGATGGATTATCCGTTCAACACTTCTGGCTGAAGATTGCTGCAGAAGCCTTATCTTTTTCACTGATGTGCTGGGCTCTTCCATCATTGTGGATGGGGATATTTGTGGAGCCTCCTCCTCCAGTGAATTGTTTAATTGTCCACCACCATTTACAGCTGGATGTGGCAGGACTGTAGAGCTTTGATCTGATCTGTTGGTTGTGGGATCACTTAGCTATGTCTATCAGTTGCTGCATAGCTGTTTGCAAGTAGTCCTGTTTGGTAGCTTCACCAGGTTGACACCTCATCTTCAGATATGCCTGGTACTGCTCTTGGCATGCCCTCCTGCACACTCCATTGAACCAGGTTGATCTTCTGGCTTGATGGCAATGGTTGAGTGGGGGATATGCAGGCCATGAGGTTACAGGTTGTGCTGGAGTACATTTCTGCTGCTGTTGATGGCTAACAGCACCTCATGAATACCAAGTCTGGAGTTGCTAGATCTGTCTGTCCCATTTAGCACAATGATAGTGCCACACAAAACAATGAGGTTATCCTCAATGTGAAGGCGGGACTTTGTCTCCACAAGGACCAAGCGGTGGTTACACTTACCGATACTGTCATGGACAGATGCATCTACTGCCGGCAGATTGATAATGGTGATGATGTCAAGTATGTTTTTCTCTCTTTTTGGTTTCCTTAACATCTGCCACAGACCCAGTCTAGCAGCTGTGTCCTTTAGGATTCGACCAGCTTCCAAGCCACTCCTGGTGGGTGGACATGGTGACCCCCCACTCAGAGTACATTTTGTGCCCCTGCTATATTCAGTGCTTCCTCTAAGTGTTGTTCAATGCAGAGGAGTACCGATTCATCAGCTGAGGGAGGACGATAAGTGGTAATCAGCAGGAGGTTTCCTTGCCTGTGTTTAACCTGAAGCCACGAGACTTCATGAGGTCTGGAGTCAATGTTGAGGAGTCCCAGGGTAACTCCTTCCCGACTGTATACCACTGTGCCACCACCTCTGCCAGTGGGACAGGACGTATCCAGGGATGGTGATGGTTATGTCTGGGACATTGCAAGGTATGATTCTTTAAGTATGACTATGCTAGGCTGTTGCTTGACTCTGCCATGGCAGGATTTGAAAATGGGTCCCCAGAATGTTAGCTGAGTTTCTGGATTTATAGTTTAGAATAATACCCCTTGGCCATCATCTTCCTAAAGCTGCCTAGAGTCATAATGTCATACGGCATGGAAACAGACCCTTCGGTGCAATCAGTCCATGCCGAACATAATCCCAAACTAAACTAGTTCCATCTGCCTGCTCCTGGCCCATATCCCTCCAAATCTTTCCCATTAATGTACTTACCCAAATGTCTTTTAAATGCTGTAACGGTGCCCGTATTCACCACTTCTTCAGGAAGTTCATTCCTCTTGCAAACCACCCCCTCTGTGTTTTAAAAAAAAAAATTGCCCTTCATGTCTTTTTAAAATCGCTCTCCTCTCACCTTAAAAATGTGCCCCCCAGTCTCCTACGCTCCAGGAAGAAAAGTTCCAGCCTATCCAGGCTCTCCTTATAATTCAAACACTCCAGTTTTGGTTACATGGTAGGATTTTTGTTTTTTGCACCCTTTCCAGTTTAATAACATACTTCCTATTACAGAGTGACTAGAATTCTACACCGTATTCTAAATGTGGCCTTCCCAATGTCTTGTCCAGCCATAACATGATGTCCCAAATTCTGTACTCCATGCTCTGATCAATGAATGGAAGTGCCAAGCGCCTTCTTCACCACCTTGTCTAGCACTGTCCTGCTTTTAGGACCTCATCCTTTTTTTTAACCTATGTCATTGTTACCTATCTGTACCGACCACAAGCAGTTCCCCCACCCTCTCCAGGATGCCCTGTAGCTACTCTGAGACATCCTTGACCATAGCACCAGGAAGGGAACATACCATCCTGGAGTTTAACTTGCGGCCACGGAGACATCAATCCATTCTCCTTGCAGTTGAATCCTCTATGACTATTACATTTCCACATATTTGCTCCTCCCTTGTCCAGCAGAACCAACCGTGGTGCCACAACTTTGGCTATTGCTATTTTCACCTGAGAGGATATTCCCCTGAACAGTATACAGAGAGATATATCTGTTTTTTCTGGGGCAGTTCCCACAGGGGATTCCTGCACTGCTTGCCTTATCTTCTTAATCTGCCTGGTGGTCACCCATTCCCTTTCTGCCTGTGGAGTCATAGCCTGCAGTGTCACTGCCTCTCTATACATGCTATCCACGATTACCTCAGCTTTGCAGATGCTCCACAGTGTCCCCAGCCACCACTCCAGCTCCAAAACTCAGGCCTTCAGGAGCTGCAGTCAGAGACACTTCCGGCATACATGCTGGTCCTGGGTACTGGAGACATACCCGGCTTCTCACATAGAGCAGGAGGAACGCAACAAAGCTTTGAGCTCTCCTGCCATGCCTTTCTGTAAATCTCCCATCTCTGAGGTATCAAAATACTTCCCAAGTTTTGCTTCTGAATTGAACACAATATTCGAGCTGGATCATAGGCATTAATTTATAAAAGTTTAGCTTAATTTGCTTCCTTTTATGTGCAATGCTGCTAGTATATTAGTTCTACATGTCTTCTTTTGTTTTGAGGATGTTTAATATTTTGTTGTGAAGTCTGGTATTTTTATCCTACTGCACTTGTGCATCATTTTGATGTGATGATGTAGAATGACGGAACAGATCTTTATTGTAGATAAATTTTAACATTGTCTTTTTTTATTCTTGGCTTCTTGTTGTATTTTAGGTAACTTCCAAGAAGTGGATGTTTGCACCTTTAGCAGTCATAACAGGCTACTTCAATTCGGTTTCTCAGCTATGTTTGGCTTTGGTGGAAGAACCCTGGCCTTAGCCGAAAAGCATCGTTGGATGCCTTCCAGCCAGCGGAAAGAGTTTGCTGTTATCAAAACACTGACAAATCTTAAGTAAGAAAGACAACATTTTTAATCCAAGAAGTCTTTTGCCCTCCTTACTCAATACAAAAGAGAACATTTCCTTCATTTAGCTCCAAGTTGGTTCTTCCTATGAGGAAATTTAGCCCAATTACAAACTGACAAATGTATGAATTAGGAGCAAGAATAGACATTTGGTTGCTCAAAACTGCCCTGCCATTCGATGAGATCATAGCTAATCTGATTATGGGTTCAAGTCCCTTTGCCTGCCTATCTCAGATAACCTTTAACTCCCTCATCAGTCAAGAATCTGTCTAACTCAACCTAAAAATTACATAATGACCTTGCCCCCACCACTCTGTAGGAAGAGTGTGCCACAAGCTGAGAACCTCTGAAAGAAAAGAAACTTTTCATCTCTACATTCAATGGGAGACCCATTATTTTTAAGCTGTATCTTTTAATTCTAACCCCTCCCACAGGGTAAACATCCTTTCACCATCCACACTGTCAAGTCCCCTCAGATCCTTCTATGCTTCAATAAGGTCACCATTTGTAATGTCCAATAGATAAGACTCAACCTATCCATCATTTTAAGATAATCCATTCATCCTAGAATTCAGCCAATTGTCCTTTCTTCTATAAGGAGACCAGAATTCTATACAATACTCTAGATTATGTTATGTTGTTAGAAAATTACTACACATCCCTATCATTTTATCTATGACTCATATTTGAACATTTCCTGTGATTTTAATTTTAACAAAAACAATCTTTGAACTGATAACTTTTCATGTTTTTAGGCCTGAAAATTGTGAACTATCCTTTCTACTATCAGAAAATGTTCATGTGGTAGCTCAGAAAGGCGAAAGGTAGGATATAAACAGTTTAATTTGCTTATCAATTGTTCAAGTTTCAATTAACTGAATTCTATTAGATAATATGTCGTGTTAACTTTATTTTTCACATAAACCAAATAATCTATTTATGGAAGTTCCATTCATCCCAGCCAAGTTCATCCAACTGCAGGATGGAAGGGGATCTTAGGATATAAACCCAGCAGTGGGGAGTGCAAAGGAATGTGGTAATGATGGGGACAGTATAGTGAGAGGGATAAATACTGTTCTCTGCAGTAACAATTAGGAATTCTGAACACTGTATTCCTTGTCCAAGCCCACAGTTAAGAACATGTGTCACATCACAACTAAAGAACATAGAGCAGGTGGCAAATAACTCGATTGTTGTAGTCCACACAAAAACCAAGGCCGTAAGTAGAATGAAGTTCTACTGAAGGGATTTAAGAAGCTGGTGTCCAGTTTAATAAGCAGTACTTCAAAGGTAACAATCTCTGTATTACTACCTGAGGCAAATAAAAAAATAGCATTATGTCAAGCAGATCAAAAAGTTGAGTGCATATTTGAAAGAATGGTGTGGAAGCCAAGGGTGTTGATTCACAGCACTGGCACTAGTACTGAGGAAAGTGTAATCTGACAGGCTCAACTTGAATCATCTGGGAGCAATGTCTTCGTGAATCAAATAACTAGGTGGTAGCACGAGAAAGGGTGTGGATGTTTCAGGTAAGAGTGGATATGTATAAATCTAAAGAGAAGAAATGAGAACATAGTGCAGCAACTTTAGGTAAATACAAGTGGATTAACAGGAAGCAATAAATAATATTGCTTCAATGAGTAAGGTCAAGTCAAGGAAAAACAGAGAAAAAAGTTACCTGAATGCATCCACAGCTATCTAAAGAGGATTTTCATCAAAAGAAGCTTAGAATATTGTAAAGAAGACTAATATATCTGAGAATTGGTGCAATTTTAGAAACCAACAAAAGATGACCTAAAATTTCTATAAGTGTGGAAGGAAGAAAGAGAATAGTGAAATAAACAAGCATCCCTTAAATACCGATATAGGAGATGTTATACTGAGGCATAAAGAAAATTGCAGAGAGGTTAAACAAGTATTTTGTTTCTGTCTCTGCAGTCTAGACATCTAAAATATAAGATATGGCGAGACTAAAGAGATTCAGCTGTAGTAATTTGTTTGACAATCAGGTGGAAATGATTAGATTCTTTCTTGTTGAAGATGATCATTGCCTGTGGTCTTATGGATTAAAACTCAAGAAGTTACACCAACATGCTGTAGAAAGAAGTGGAGCTGAGCCTGAGATTAGTTTTGCAGTTTTAGCTACTTTACTTTAAAAGTCTTTGGTTGTGCTGGCTACCAGGATAAATCTAAACCTAAAGGGTCTACACTATGAAGAAAAACTCAAGCAACTACAGTTATTTTCAACACAGAATAGATAAGGATGGATTGAGATTTACACTAATGATTTGGACTTGGAAACTATAAACTCAGTACCAAATTCAAGGATGTTCTGAAATTTGGGCTCTGGAGGTAATAGAAAACACTAAGGACGAGTACAACATGATGCATGAAGATATTAATAAAATTGCAGCCTTATTTGTTAAATGGCAAGTTAACAAAAATAAATGTAGAATAGTGTACTTTGTTAGGAAAGATAGAATTATCACTGCATTCGTAAGTGCTCTCCCCAAGTCCAGGTACTTAGCTACTGTTTGCTGACGCTGTACCCTTAGCCATTTCTGACCTGTATTTCCTTAATGATGGTTTGCCTTTGTCACCCATTTTTAAGGGCAGAACAAGGAATCAGGTCCTAAATCTGCCTCAGCTGGAACAGGAACCAAACTTGTGCTACTGTTGTTACTCTAAATCTCCATACCAACCATTTAGACAATTGAGCTAACTGGCCTTTTAGACAGAAAGCAAGGAACTAACTGGGATATGGAGCAAAGAAATCAAAGGATGCTGATGAACAAATTATAAAACAATTGTATTGCATGTGAACAAAATTAAAAATGTTAAAAATGCTGTAGAAGCAATTGGATGTAATTAAGGGGTTACAGAATGCAACAGTAATGACTTTATGCTAAATGCTAAACCTTGGTCAGGATGCATTTAAGAATACTGTACACAATTCTGTTTTCCATACTATAGGGAAATATGTAGAAGCACTTTATGCAGTGCAGAAAAGATGCAAGGCTGAAATCAGAACTGAGAGATTACAGCTATTGGGAACAAGTGAATGGTTTTGGGTTTTCTTTTGAAAAGTGAAGATTTTCAGGTGATCTGATAAAGGTCTTTGAAATCACAAATGTCAAGATGGATGTGGAGTGAATATTTCCTCTTGTGGGGAAAGTCGAAATCTAGGGATATTCAATAGAGATATGGGGACAAATTTATTTACTCAAAGTGGTTAGAATCAGGACATCACTGTCACGGGAAATTATTGTGTCAAATAGTTGATTTGATGCTTTGTAAAGGAAACCAGAGGAAGTAGATGAGAGAAAAATGAATTGGATATGCTAAATAGTGTGGTGAGGTAGAGACCCATTGAGTATAAAAAAAACAGCATGGACAATTTAAATTGATTGGCCTTGTTATGTTATTAATTTTGGAGATGTGGGATTTTCTTTATTTATCTATCCTGAAGAACCCATTTATGATTTCAATTATTGCAGCAATTATTACCCAACTTTGGAAGGTGCTGCCTAAGGGGCCTTGGTGAACTTCCACAGTGAATCTTGTCGATGATACACACTTCTACTGTACATCAGTGGTGGAGGGAGTGAATGTTTGTGGATGTGGTACCAATAAAACAGGCTACTTTGTCCTGGATTATGTCAAGCTTCTTCAGTGTTGTTGGAACTGCACACATCCAGTCAAGTAGGGAGTACGACATTCACATTCCTGACTTGTGCCTTGTAAATGGTTGTCAGACTGTGGGGAGTCCTGGTTGGTCCTTTGGGATTCCTAGCCTTAATCTACTTTTGCAGCTATATTTAGTTTTTCGTCAGTGGTAACCCCAGAATATTGATATGTTAGGGTATTCAATGATAGTAAGGCCAATGAATGTCAGGGAAGATTAGATTCTCTCTTTTTGAAGATGGTCAATGCCTGGCACTTGTATGGCATGAATGTTATTTGCCACTTAATTGCCCAAACCTGGATAATGTCCAGATATTGCTCCATTTGAACATGAACATGAACACTCTTCCAGTATCTGAAGAGTTGCAAATGGTACTGAACATTGTGTAGTCATCAGTGAACATCCCCACTTCTGATTGTTTGATGGAAGGAAGATCATTGATGAAGTAGCAAAAGATGTTTGAGCCTAGGAACTCCTGTAGAGTTGTTCTGGAGCTGAGTTTACTAACTTCTAGACATTTTCTAGTCAGCTGTTCAGAGATGATCTTACATATTTGTGGAGGAGATAAGACTTGAAACTGGGTTTCCGGGCTTAGAGGTAGGGTCACTACCACTATGTCACAAGAGCCCTGATGAATGACATCTACCCTGTATATCGTATTTCTTTATTACAAAAGTGACTTCACTTCAACAATAACAACTTACAGCACCTTCAACATAGAGGCAATATAAAACAAAATTCTAATGGAGGTTTTAAGATAAATGAACAAAAACTGGATAAAAGTGATAGGTTTTGTGGAGTGTCATTGAGGAAGAAAATAAACAGAGTGATTTAGGGCAGTGTCATTATCATTAGGGATGCTTAAGAGGCCAGATTAGTTGAGTACAAATATTTGAAGAGTTGTAAACGGAGGACACGAGATGGGAGGGCCAGGCCATGGCAGAAATTTGGAAAAGGATGAAAATATTAAAATTAAGGTGTTTCTTTACTAGGCACCAATCTACTTCAGAGTTAATAAAGACATGAATGAGGGTTTCAGCATTAGAGGAGCTAAGTCGAGGCAGACTAGGGTGGTGTTACAAAAGTGGAAGTAGTCATATCAGTCGTAGTGCTGGCTCAGATATGTGGGTGAAAGCTCATTTGCAGATCAGACATGACACTGAAGTTGTAAACAAATAGATTTCACCTCAGATTGTTTCTAGGAAGAGGGATGGAGCCAGCATTTGGGGAGTGGAGTTTGTGGCAGGGACCAAAGACAGTGCCATTAGTCTAATTCTTCTAACACAACAAACTTTTATTAACCAGCACCTGTGGAACCAGGAGTGTGCTGGTTGATCAAATAATCTGGACAATCAAGAGCTATACATAACCACAGTAAACCCTGACCAAGCAAAGCTTCAAGACATAAACATCCCTCAAAAAAATCTATGTAAAAACAACACACCTCCTAGAATCAATGTAAAAACACACTCTAAATGATAGAAACGTAATACAAGGGGTATAAACATTACATATTAGTTACAGCATTAATACTCAAACATCACGATATTTTAAGTATATAACTTCTGCCAGATAAAACAAAATTTGCTGTATTTAATTTTTATTCATCCAGTACTGAAGTTTGGTCAAGCAGTTCAATTGTAATTTAAAGTGAGCAAGAGAGATGGTGCGAGGGAAAGCTGCACATTTTCAGAGTATGCTTAGAAACTGACATGGTTTACTTTGAATATGCTTAATTGGCTATTAAAGTCACTGTATAAACACTAGTATCTTTATCTTTCCTGTTTTAGGTAAGTGTATATCAGATAATGGCCCAGATATTTCTCTTAGCAGTTAAAGTTCTATACTTACCATTCATCCTGTTGATAGCTGCCCACAGACCTCTTGTGGATATGATAGCTAAGGTTTTCTCTGATATATTAACTTTTCCATCATGATTCCCTCTACAGGGATATGTGGCATCTATGATTGAGGCAAGCAGCAGTGAAACTCCTCAACCAAGCACATTAAAATGTCACTACTCAGCCAGGAAAATTTCAAACCGGGAAGTATAAAGTAGGAAATGAAAACTGGATTTAAAATGATATATAGAAAGTGACATAAAGAATAAGGGAGAGATAAGAAACATAACAAGAAAATAAAAAGCTGAATATCTAATGCTACTTTTTTCCTGAGAATGAGATTTCACACTTGTCAAGTTAAACTGAAGGATCAGAGGCATTTTTCATTAGAATTTATCATTTCTCACACTGTTTAAAAATTCACTTATTGTTGAATGCACCAGTCCTAACAGTGTCAGCTGCTTTCAGTGCCAAGTGCAACATGTTTCTGCTGTTGCAGTCCTTTGAATGGCTAATCTTTCAGCAAGGAATGCAAAAGTGTATTCTGTTGGGGGTCAGAATGTCTCTGATGGCAGCTTTTAATTTTGATGTTTACCTATGGATAGATGTACTCCAAAGTATTTTTTGCTGTCAGACTTCATTCATTGAAATAGCAAGTGTCAGCTTCACCACTATGCTTAACACAAATTACAAGTCATTATATTTTCCTAACAAAATGCATTTGCTTTAGATAATGATGGATTCCTTGTCTTTCCAATTTGTTTTAGAAATGAAGATGAAATGAATGCTATTGAACAACGTAGTGAGTACTAAAAGACATCTACAATTTGAAATTTGAAGTGCGAACGTATCTTTGTAGTTTCCTTTGCAGAAATTAATGTTTTGCCACTTTCCAGATGATGAAGATAAATGGCAAACCATACAGGGACATTTCCTCAATATTAGCATCATGGCTATTCCATGTCTTTGTTCTATGGCACCAAGAGGCCTAGCACCTCATACCAGGTAAGTGGTCTAGGCCAATGCCTATAATATTTGTTCTTCTTATAACCTTTTGGATTCATTCCAGAAATACGTACTTTGTAGATATTCTAGACCTTTATGAGGGCATAGATTGCAGTAGACACAGTAATCCCATGGTTTTTAAATGGTTGCTGTTGAATCTGCTGAGGTCAGGATTGAAATAATCAGTGGATAATGTTCAGATAAGGCTAGATAATAAATTAGATTTTAGAAAATCATACCTGCTTCTATTACTTGTGGGTAACATGCAAACTTGCTAAACGATTTATCTGAAATTGGTAAACCAATTTTTTCAAAGCACTTGAATGCTACAGACAAAAAAAGTCACCAACCAATTCAGTACTAAATCAAAATACTACAGACTGCATATTCTGACCAAAAACACATCAAATACTATAAGAAACTTGCAGCATTTTTTTTCTAATATTGGTGATCTCTTCGAAGTGCACTGGTAACTTTGTATGAAGTGTTGCATTCATTGACTTCAATGTATCAAGTAGTACTGAGTTTTATTATTAAAAACCAAAAATAATTGTTAGCAAAATTAGCCGACACGGGCTTAATACTCTCATATGACATTCCTGTCGACTATTTAAATGGTCTCAATAATCCATTCAACATTAACGCTCACCCAACTAATATCCTCAACCGTAATTTGTAATATATATGGTTACCATCAGTTCCATACCAGAAATACTTCCCGTACTAGTTTTTAATTCACTATTTAAACTGAAATGATCTGCCTTCTGAAAGTGTTTAATTTTCTATTTTAGTTTGGATAATGGAAGCATGTCACTTATTGCTGTCCAAAATTGTTCGAGAGCAGATTTCATAAAACACCTGAAACGATATGGTAACTTAAAGAACCAGGTAAACTGAAACATGTGGTATTTTTGTTACATGCACCTCATCAGTTTTCCTAGCTTAATAAATAGCAAATCCTATAGAGATTTCCTAATTATGTTAGCATGTTTTTTTCCTCCTTAGGAGGATTAATTCCCTGTCACAAGACACCAGGCAGTGAATTGTTATTTAATATAAAATGCTGCACAACCTAATCCAGATTAGATCTCATCAGTGTATGTTTTTGTTTGTATGATTTCACAATCCATTGTTCTTACCAATAGTTGTTTGTGGAATTGTCTGTGTTTTAAACAAAAATCAATGTATTTAGATTTAAGTAATCGTCTCCAAATTGATATGTTACCTTTTTGGGGTTTTGCACTGGATAATCACGACATTGTAAACCATTCCTTTAAATGAGCCCTTACTCCGTATCAACTACAGTGTGAATAAACCTGTATGTTAAAAATAGTCAATAGCTAGTTTATCTAACGTTTAAGCTAAGTGAACATTTGTACATTGTCTTTTTGCTTGCAGTTTGATTTCCCCTTTGTGCAGACTTATACAGTCCAGGAAGTTAAAATCCTTACAGAAACCAAACACAGATGGACAGACATAACTTCAGACGAAAATGCTGATTCTCATTCATATCACTCCTCTGTGAATTCTCTGAAAGAAAACTGTCCATGGAATGTTGATGGCAACTTGATGGAGGGAACTTCAGAAGTTCATATAAAGTAAGCATTAACTATTGACACATGCAACAGCTAGAATTTTTGTACCACTCTTTGATACTGATATTAGAATGTAAATATTTTACACATTTTCATTCAAGAGTAACTTTGTGAGGAGAAAACATGTAAAAACCAAATAGAGAAAAAAAGTCTGCTAAGCCACTTAGTTTAATCCTGTGATCTGAAAATTATTCAAGTAGTCCATAAACTGGATTAAATTCTTAATTTTTAGTTTTATTATTAATGTACAAATAAAAATTAATAATGTAATCTTGGAGCTCATGATGTATAGAAATTATTTATTGAAACACCGTCTACTGATCAGCATAGAATAGGATCACTAAACGAAACTTATGTCTTCTGAATTTTGTGAATTGTTTTCTTCACTTGACTTTCAAAGGATCCACTCACAACTAATTACTCTGTATGGAAGGAATATTGAAGAATGTGATGATGTTACAGTAAAGTGCAGCTGCCTATAGTGACAAAAGTACCAAAGGTTTCCCAGAGTGGTTTGGTTGTCACTGAACTTTTGTGAGGAGATGAAGCAGAATTATTTTCAGACCATAGCCACAGTGAATCTCTGTGCGATTGTGCTTTTTTTAAATCAAATGTCTACTTTTAGTTAATTTCTGTATTTGCATAACATACTTGTGTATAAATTTTATAGTTGACATTTTGTTTTCTGAGAAGTGTACTTTTATGAATGTTATATATTGCTTACCAATTTCTGTAATGTTAAAGAAAGATTTCCTGTTAATGGTGTTCATTTAATGTCTAAATTGGTGATATTTATGTCGCCCACAGTGAAATTCTGATGGTGTATTGTTCAAATGTTTCATTCTACAATCAAAAGAATGAGGATATGGGTATAACCTGTTGGTTATTTCTCATTCTGCAAATAACAGGAATATTACAGTAAGAAACCAGTAGAATTTAACATAGGAATTTCTAAAACAGTAAAATCACTTCATGGCTAATTGTGAAAGTACTATCAAAGGTAATGCGTGGAAATTAAGTAATATATTTTATAGAACACATCCTGTTTTGAAGTCAAGAAAATGAAGCTTTACAAGCAAAATGTAGATGATGGATAATGAAATTCTAAAGAAAGGTCTTGATTTCCCAAATTCTTGGCTAAGTGTTATTTTTGTGGATTTTTAATAGTGGTTGTGCCATCATAGCTATCAGCCATTTTTCTCATGTTGTCCTTCTCTTCTCACTTTTTTAATTATGCATTTGGCCTTTTTGATGTCCTTCTCATGCAAACGTGTGTTGTGAGGCAAAATTTGCGCTGCTGCCAGGACCTTCTGGCACTCAAACATCAGCACTATATCTAAAGCCTGGCTACAATCCTGGAACTAACTTGCATGCTCAGATTAAAAACAAAATGCTGCAACTGCTGGAAACCTGAAATGAAAACAAAATGCTGGAGAAACTCGGCAGATTTGGCAGCATCTGCGAAGAGGAATACAGTTAACATTTTGAGTGTAGTCTTCCAAAGAGTCACACTGGACGAAATGTTAACTCTGTTTCTTTCTCTAAAGATACCACCCGAGCTGCTGCTTTTCTCCTGCACTCTTTATTACTAACTTGCACGCTGTCCTCTTAAGAAACTGAAATGAAGGGAAGCTGGCACCCTGCTTTCCAAATAGGGACCTGGAGGTTCTGGTTGATAGAATGGTCAATGAGAGGACCAACCTCTACCCAGGGTTCAGAGAAGGCCAAGGTACTAAATACAGCTGGCCTGGACATAGCAGCTCAGGTCAGTGCCATCTCCAAGGTTAGGCAGAATGCACAACAGTGCAGGAGAAGGTTCAGTGATCTGTCCTCCACAAATATAAGTGGCAGCATCTCCTTTCTGTTAACGCATGCTCACCCTAACTCTGCCACCACACAAAAACCTCACCAGTGTTCTTGGACTACCAACCTAACTACTGCATACAGCATGTGCACTCACTTCCCATCCATCACAACTACTAATCCTGCTCGTCTCTCAGGTTACAAAAGCTATGCAATCCACAAGGGTTATACTGGACCTGGTTTTGGGAAATGAGCCTGGCCAAGTGAGTGAAGTTCAGTGGGAGAACATTTCAGGAGCAGTGACTGTAATATTTAAGATACTCATGGATAGGGATTACAGCAGTCCTTAGGTGAAGGTGTTAAACTGGGGAAATGTGAACCACAACAATATTAGGCAGGAACTGGAGAATGTTGATTGGAGGTGGCTGTTTGTGGGTAAATCTACATCAGACTCGTGGGAGTACTTCAAATGGTAATTGATAACAGTTCAGGAGTGGCACATTCCTCTGAGAACGAAGGATAGGTATGGCAAGCTACATGAACCTTAGATGACCAGGGATGTAATGATCTTAGAAAGAAAAAGGAAGCATACATAAAGGTCTAGGAGGATAAGAACTGATGAAGGCCTTGAAGTATACAAGGAAAGTAGGAAAGAACTTAAAGGAGGAAATAGAAAAGCTAAAAGGGTCATGAGATTCTCCTTAATCCTGTTTGCTAATGACATTTCAAGGCCTCTTATACATAATTAAAAAACAAGAGGGTAGCCAGAGAAAAGGTTGGCACACTCAAGGACAAAGGAGGGAATCTATGTGTGGAGCCACAAGAGCTAGGTGAGGTCCTAAACAAATGCTTTGTTTTGGTATTCACCAAAGAGAAGGAATTGGTGGAGGAAGCTCTCCGGGAAGCGAGTGTCCGGTTTCTAAGCCAAGTTGTGATTAAAAAGGAAGAGGTGTTATGCATCTTAAAAAGTATTAAGGTAGATAAGTCCCCAGGTCCTGATGGGATCTATCCCATAATATTGAGGGAGGTAAGAGAATAAATTGCTGAAGCATTGACATTGTACCCTCTTTGGCCACTGGTGAGGTCCCAGAGGACTGGAGAATAGCCAATGTTGTCCCATTGGTTAAGAAGGATAACAGGGATAGTCCTGGAAATTACAGGCCTGTGACCCGCACGTTGGTGGTAAGGAAGTTGTTGGAAAAGATTCTTGGGGATAAGATCTATACACATTTAGAAGCAAATAGCCTAATTAGTAATAGACAGGATGGTTTTGTGCGGGGGAGGTCGTGCCTCACTAACTTGATCGGGATTTTGAGGAGGTGATGAAGATGTTTAAGGGAAAAGCAGTTGATGTTGTCAATGTGAACTTCAGTAAAGCCTTTGGCAAGGTCCCTCATGGCAGACTGGTACAAAAGGTAAAGTCACATGGTATTAGGGGTGAGCTGGCAAGATGGATACAGAACTGGCTTAGTCCTAGGAGACAGGGTAGCGGTGGAAGGATGATTTTTGAAACAGAGGGCTGTGACCAGTGATGTTCCACAGGGATCAATGCTGGGACCTCTGCTGTTCTTGGTCTACATAAATGATTTGGAGGAAAATGTAGCTGGTCTAATTTGTAAATTTGCGGACAATGTAAGGATTGGTGGAGTTGCAGGTAGTGAGGAGGATTGTCAGAGGATACAGCAGGATATAGATCAGTTGGAGGCATGGGCAGATAAATGGCAGATGGAGTTTAATCTGGACAAATGAGAGGTGATGCACTTTGGAAGGTCAAGTACGGGTGGAAATTATGCAGTGAATGGCGGAAACTTAGGAGTATTGATTCAGGTCACTGGAGGTGGCAACGCAGGTAGATAAGGTAGTAAAAAAGACTCATGGTTTGCTTGCCTTCATCGGAAGGGGTATTGAGTATAAGAATAGACAAGTTATGTTGCAGCTTTCTAGAACTTTAGTCAGGCCAACTTGGAATATTGCGTAGTTTTGGTCACCACAGTACTAGAAGGATGTGAATGTTTTGGAGATGGTGCAGAAAAGGTTTACCAGGATGTTGCCTGGTATGGGGGATTTTAGCTATGAAGAAAGGTTGGATAGCCTGGGTTTATTTTCACTGGAACGCAGGAGATTGAGGGGCGACCTGAAAGAAGTTTATAAGATTGTGAATGGCGAGAATAGAGTGGAAAGTATAAGGCCTTTTCCCAGGGTGGACGGGTCAATTACTAAGGGACGCAGGTTTAAGATGCGAGGGGGTGGGGGGTGGAGTTTAAAAGAGATGTGTGAAGCAAGTTTTTCACACAAAGGATGGTGAGTGCCTGGAACGCGCTGCTAGAGGAGGTGGTGGAAGCAGACACAACAGCAGCATTCAAGAAGCGCCTGGATGAATACATGAATAGGAAGGGAATAGAGGGATACTGATTCTGTAAGTGAAGACAGTTTTAGTATGGAAGGGCAAAAGGTGTTGGCGCAGGCTTAGAGGACTGAAGGGCCTTTTCCTGCACTGTATTGTTCTTTGTTCACAGTCTAGCAGCCTCCAAGTAAGCATAAATTGCATAAGTACTAAGAAATGAAACTGGAAGCTGTAAGGTGACTGTGTAACCTTGTGCACAAAGCAACCTGGCAGGAGCATGTGAGTCAAAGGCATGCCTGAGCTCAAAAGTGAAGGGCTGAAGATGATTCTGAGTTGGTCTGAGATGAATCATAATAATGTGGTGAGACTGGTTGGTTTCCATGCACATAAAAGGGAGGAGTATGCTTTATGTTGAGCATTCAAAGACATGTTAGTGAAGGGACATGGAGGCCTGGAGAAAAAAAGTGAGATGCATCCACAGAACATTTTGTTTCCAGAAGGCTTGTGGAATGGTCACCCTTACCGCTACCAATTGGAATCCATCCCAAATGGGACATTATTATATCTGGTTTCATGGGAGAGGAAAGAAGCAAAAGCTGCATGTAAGAGGTGAGTTGACATATTAATGAGTGGTGAAAGTGTGGAAATAAGGTGGTCAGATTATCAGTGACACACTGATCATGCCATTGAAACATTAAGGGAAAAAATTGCAAATTTTGTCATACAGCCTGGAAACAGGTTGTTACCCTTTGGTCCAACTCGGCCATGTCGACCAGACTCCCCAGTCTGACCTAGTCCTATTTGTCAGTATTTGGCCCATATCCCTCTAAACCCTTCCTATTCATATACTCATCCAGCTGCCTATTAAATGTTGTAATTATAACCCGCCTCCACCACTTCCTCTGGCAGCTTGTTCCGTACACACAACACCCTCTGCATAAAAAAGTTACCTCTTGGGTCCTTTTTAAATGTTTCCCCTCTCACCTTAAACCTATATCCTCTAGTTCTGAACTCCTACACCCTTGGCTATTCACTCAATCTATGCCCCTCGTAATTTCATAAACCTCTATAAGGTCACCCCTCAGCATCTAACGCTGTAGGAAAAAAAACCCTGCCTATTCAGCCTCTCTCACTACAGTTCAAATCCTCCAATCATGGCAACATCCTTTTAAATATTTTCTGCACCCTCTGAAATTTAACAACATCCTTCCTATAGAAGGGCAACCGGAATTGTACGCAGTATTCTAAAGTGGCCCCAACATCGAGAATCAGATCTTTTTCATCCATGACATATTTCTCCACAATTCTCATCATTACCTACTTTGGGAGATATTTTCCTATGCCTTGAGCAAAAGTGTAAGCATACTTATTTTATTTTTTTCCATGTTTTGGTTTCCATATTACAAGCTGTGAGGAAAGTTTGTTTTGGCTTAAATATGGAATTTGGATAATTAATGTATTATACTTCTATATAAATGCAAAAATTCTTTTTGACATCAACTCGTTTTCAATCATTTTAATCTCTTTTTATTCTTCCACTAGAGGGAGGAGTGGGACTCTCTCATCTAATTGGTACGTTCACTATTCTGAGTATTTTCACTTGTCAATTTGTTACTCTTTTTATTTCTCCAATCTTACAACAGTTCAGAGTTTAATCTTCCAACTGATTTTTACCCTGGATCTTAAGAACATAAATGTTCTTGTACATTCAAATATTGAACTTTGGTTGACAAGCAGAATTGTTTTGAATACTATTTGAACCTAAATTCTTGATTTTTTGCAAGGTAATTATAGTACATAAACAACATATTCCACCTAATATTTAAATTCGGTGAAGAGTAGTGAGCGATCTTACAATGTAAATTGTGTGCTTGGGCATCTTTTGCCTAGTGACGAGCACTGATGACTCTTAAAATAGTG